GAAGGAGGAAAAACCAAAAAGGGTGAGAAGATTTGTCATGTAGTAAGGAAGGACGTGGCTCATAAGAAATAGGAGAAAGGGATAAAATGTCATATACCTGAGAAACAAAATCCAAAAAGACCAAGTTAGGTAGGAAGGTATGTCAAAATCAGGAGGCGGAAATAGATGTTCCAAGTCTTCATCAGTCTAAACTGATTCACCTGTTCAGGAAGAACTGGAACAAGGTCTGGGTCCAAAGGCTGGTCCATGCAACATTAGATCTCCTGGCAAATAAATGCAGATAAATCGACCATTTGGTCACCCGTACCCAAGGCCTGAGAAAGAACACTTGTCACTGGTGTGACCCTTGAAGTGGTAACATGAACCTCAAAATTCACTGTGAAAAAGAGTCCATCAAATTTGAGTGGTGAATAGGAATAATGTGACTGGAACTACCTGATAAAAATTTAAAATGAAAAACGTGTTTGAATGAAAACTAAATGAATTAAAGAAAACCACTTTGTGAGGAAACTTAAGCCAAATATCAATCTTTAAACAAACAAAAAGCTCATCTTAACACAAGCGCTGCCAAACGAGAAGTAATAGTTTGGTAGAGGAGTATAGAAGGAATCACATGCGTCACGTGAGCATGTCATGCTCCTATTCATGGAGAATTGACTCATGATGAAACACATTGTAATCTTTCAATTCCAATAGGGGGAAGCAGAAGGCTTGTGGCATATGCAAAGAAAACGTTTCCATATAGAGGGCACCACTGAACGAGAATAGCTAATTTTGTGAGAAGAGGTAAGTATAAGTACTATATTGGAATAAAGCAAATAGTTTGATACTAGAATAAACTTGAATAATTGAATTCAGTAATAATCAGAAACTCTCATTTTGACTAGTTAAAGAACAAAAACCCAAAGTTTCAAAGGGGTGAGTGATAAGTCTAATATCAAAGCAACATACATAATATTTAGGGACAACAAGGACCTATTTGTCCATCTAGGCTGTCCCATCCACTAAACTAAACTAACACTGTATATTTAAAAAAAAAGCAAAAAACTCAAGCATACAAGTAATTGTTGCTAAAATAAAAAGTAAAAGAGAGTCAAGGAATAGAGCAAAATCAGGTAGAGAAGAATCAGTGTAGAAAATAAAAATTTGAACAATATCTTTAGATAATGAAGATATATGCTTATTAAAAAATGAGAAAAAATCCAGCTATTGCAAAAAAAAAGGTAAATAATGATATCTGCAGAAATGTTGAAATGCCTTTCGTTTTAAGTGTTTATTTGTTTGTTTTTTTAATATATGCACAAAGCTACACAATGGGCTATCTGTGCTCTGACTACCATGGGTATCGAAACCCGGTTTCTAGCGTCGTAAGTTCATAGACATACCGTTGTGCTACTGGGGGGGCTCATTTTAAGTGACAGAAATTGTGAAAAGTAAACAAGTTGGAATACAGGCAGCCTATGTGAAAAATTGATGTTAGTTGTGATCAGTTACATTCTACAGCAGGTTCATTCAAATCTTGCTTAAACGAATAGCAGGGGTAAAAATATTACTGAATGATAAAAATACAGTTAAGTTCTTTAAAGATTTTTGCAAGCATACTTCCATTTTTTTTTGTTGCATTCACGACTAATTTCATACATACCTTTTTTCTCTAAAATGTCTTTTTTTATATCTTTGGTACTAGGAAGTATTGTTTTAATTTTGTTAAATGGTTTAAAAAGAGAAATAAAATTATTATTTTTTTTTTAATACATTGGCAACTTGGCTAGTTATACCTTGTATATATGGTAATATTAGTGTACTGTTAATTTTATTATCAAAGACACTGTTTATCCTAGTACATTGCTTGATAAAAATTAAATTGTATTTTCTTTGTTTTATACGTTCAACTATATCAACATAGTCAATATATTGTCTTAATGAACATAAAGGTTATGTACGTGACAAAAAAAATGCCAATTTTTCCTCTTGCTCAACACATTATTGAAACAGGTCATTCAATACAAAGGCATAAAACAATATTTTTAAATTAACCTAATAGTCAAAGTGAATTAAATGATGGAGAAACAATAAAAATGTTGTGCTGTAAAATAAATAATTATTTGTTAAATAGAGAGAGATAAAGGGTTAGCTGGCAATAATGCACAATTTTAGAAAAAAAAAGTGACTTCTTAGGAACAATACTTATACCACCTTCATAAATTACGAGTTAAACCTTTGCTTTATAAATCTACTGCTTGTCACGTAGGTTTTTACTCCTGATGATGGTAGTGCAAAGGTGCCAAAACATGTAGTTTTTTTTTATTTTTTGTCCATCAGCCAAATAAAAATATTTTGTGCATTTTAAACATTGACCTTGTTTTTAATTTCAAAATGTAGCTGCATTCATTCAAATATTTTCTCATTTGCTCAACATGAATAACAGTGGGTGAAAATGTCTCTGATCAATAAAAATATGGTTACATTCTTTGCACATTTTTTGCAATAAAAGGCATAAAACTTTAATGGTCAAGAACGTTTTTCCAAGGTCATTTTGGTTAAAACAAGCTTTTTTTTTACCCTAGACCTAATCTAAAACATTCTATCACTATGTTCATTATATGGGTCATGGATGCAGCCCACACAATTAGCCTTTAAAAAACACATGTTTTTCAGCAACAAGTACAGATCATAACAACTTCCAACATGGGATACCACAGATTTCCTATTGAATATATACCTAGCACATCATTAAAATTTAACCATCAAATTAGTGACTTGCTTACAGCAGTGGTTAGTGGGATTAACTGCAATACCAATGTGTTTTTTTCTTCGTGTGCATTTACTTTTCCACTTTCTGAAGCTATTCATTACTGTCTTAACATTCATTATGTTATGAATGTACTTTTGAATGTTGGTATTCAGCTTGATTACCAAAAGTAAGGATGACAAATTTTGTACCCAAATTAACCTTTCAAATACTTAAAAACCACACCTTAATCACAGGATGCAATAAAAGTCTTATCTTTAGTACTTAGTCCAAGAAAAGTTTAAAACAAATCTCTATAGCTTGATAAGAAGCTCTTTACATTTTGTTCAAGAAACATTTTACATATTTGAAGAAAAATAGCTCCTTTTATTCTTAACTCCTACTAAGTACAAGTTGAAGATATAATTAGCAAGTTATTCTGTGGAATGTGACCATTAAAAAACATGTGCATGTGGGAATATTTGCACATATATGACACACCACAAAAAATTATACACATCAATTACTGTCAGCTGCTTTAAAACCTCAGTTTTACACTTGCTTTCATTGACATATTTTTAATTTTTCAAAATATTGTTCCACTTCACTCTCTAAATTCAAAATACACATACATTAAGTTCACATTTTATTTTCAATGGTACAATTTTCATAGAGAATGAAAGACAGTCCTATTTAAGGGTTTCAAATTGAGACCATAATCATTATTCTAGTTTTATTGATTATGAAGATACATTTGGAAAAGTGGTTGAAAGTGTCAAAAGGTTAAAATTTGCTAACCGCTAACTTTACATCTCACTAACCAAAGGTCATATAGTAGTAATATTTGGGGGATTTCAGTTTAGTGTGCATGACTATTTGTATCCCAAGTTTTATCAAAATCCAAAATGATTAGTGCATTTCAAACTTTGCAAGGTAAAGCTATAGTAATTAACACTTATATATCATAAAATATGTTAATATTATTTTAACTCTGCTTGAATTATTTAAGTTACTGCAACACTGATTAACCCAAGATACAACTATATTATTAAAATGTAAGTCTCTTCTTTAATGTAAAAAATACTAAAAACTTAGTATTACAGTTTACAGTATTACACAGTTAACTTTTAAAAAGTTAATGCATATTGTAACATCATCATAAAAATTAAACATTACAATTGCTAGCATGGAGAAGTTATACAATTTTATTAACACAATAATTTTATCTAAATAGACTTTATAGTTTTATTGTCATTCATACTCTAATGATTTTCCAACTCTAAGATTGATATAAAAACTAAAAGTTATCTTATAAAATAAATTTAGGTTTTTCTAATTTTTATGTTTTTTACTTTAAATTTAGGCTACTTAAATAATATACAAAATAGTGTGGGTACCATACAGTAATGTCATTTCTGTCACCTTAAATTCAAACATTTCTAATTATGTGCTTTCATTTCTTTTCAGATGAATTTGATTTAGCAGGCAAAAGAACCCTTTTTGTTCATCAATTTTCTGTTAACAAAAATAGTTTTTCTCCAATCAGAAAAAATGACTGACCACATTCCTAATGAGAATCACATTTGACATTGCATGCTCTGTGATTGCTACTATTCAGGGAGACCAGCAGAGTTGGACAATTACCTCCTGAGGTCAGAGGTTAATTCAGACTCCTGTCAAACCATATAACAATTGTCAGAAGAACTTAATTCTTCTTCGTCTAGTGTTCAAGAATATCTTAAACAGATTGGGAAGATCAACAGACAAGAAGTTTGGGTTCAACACAAACTGTGAGGTGACAACAAAGCCCAATACACAACTATTTGCAATTCATTGATAACCAGACATGTGAAAGAACCATTTCTTCATAGGATTGTTATAGGAGACAAGAAATGGGTTCTTTATGTCAACACCAAGTGCAAGAATCAGAGTATTAGCCCTGGCCTGAACCCAATTCCAACAGCCAAACTAGGTTACACCTGCAGAAAGTTTTGTTATCCATTTGGTGGGACAGAGTCTGCATAATTCATTTTGAGTTATTAAAATCGAATCAGACTATAACTGCAAACCTTTATCATCAACAATTAGACTGTTTGCAGCAGGCTCTCATTAAAAAATGTCCAGCACTGATCAACAGAAAAGGAGTCATTCTGCAGCATGATAATGCAAGACCACATTCTTAAAGAACGATTTAGAACAAGATAGAGATTTGAATTGGGTAGTCCTGCCTCATCCTCCATACTCTCCTGACATTGCCCCTTCTGCTTACCATTTATTCAGATCTATGGAGCACTTTCTCAGCGACAAAATCTTCATAAATATTGATGGCATCAAAACTGCTCTCACAGAATTCTTTGTCTCAAAGGAAGCTTCCTTCTATCAATGAGAAAATAAAAGCTTGATTGAAAGATGGCACACTGTCATTAATAATAATAAGGATTATGTAACTAATTGAAAAATACATATTTACCTAAAAATGACATTACATTCCGGTACCCCTAATACTAGGTGTTTACTTTGGCTAAGCATACGTCTGACTAATAAATAAATAGAGCTATGAATATTTTCCTTGATTGGTTACAAAGCATTTTAGTAACTATTTAGTTACAGGCACAACACTCAAGTCTCCAAATTTATCATTAAAACATGTAAAACAATAGTGAATTGTCTGGAATAACGTGTTTCTGGAAAGGAAAAGTATAAACAGTATTGTTGCAACAGGTGACTGACAAGTGAATAAATCTTTCACTAGTATAAGTAATACACCATTTAAACCACAATTATTTACTATTGAAATAATAAATGTGGTTGAAATGTTGTGTTATATCTACTAATTATAATCCACAAAGTACATAAGTAAAAGAACTAAACCTTTCAATTTATAAACATTCAACAATGCACAAGCTTAACTTAAAGCTTTAGAGATATCCAGTATCCAATATACCACTGTATATATGTGTGTGTGTGGTGTTCAGGTGTTAAGCACTGTAGGGGATGCATTACTGCTACTTTCATACAAGTTGTAAAAAAACAAAACATATATACTACAGTTCAATATGCAATTTTTTAAAAACTAGTAATTGCCTCTGTCTCACAATTTACACTTGTTCATGACAAATCTAAGAATGAGGTGGTATCTCACACTTCAAGTGACAATTGTAAAATAGTCTGACACAGGCTGATCTTAGCTAAAATACAACTACACCATGAGATAAGTGCATTCCAGGCTTTCAATCCTTTCATAAAGACAACATTCAAGGCTAACTTCACCTTTGATTCAAACAATTTACCATGTTATAGTCTGAACTCCAGATAATTTTGAAAAAATATATTATTATATATACATAGCAGGTGATGAAGTATCTTAAGGGATCATTAAGAAGACATTTTTAAAGTTATCAAAGGGTTTCCCCGTCCTCAATTTAATGTCCTCTGACATTCTGGGTACTCATGTAGACATATCTATCTTGACTTTCATAATACATTTCATACATTACCATACAAACAGTTTCTTATTTGAAAAGTGTACAGAAAATTAGCATGGTTGTGTTAAATGAACACTTCTACAGTTGTAAGAATGTCAGCAGTCAAGTCCCAAACACATTCATCTTGGGATCTTTGATTTCCATTAACATGTCAATAACTTGAGTTATTTCTGTGCTGTAACAATAATACTTTTAAGTTTACTGATAATAATAAGATATAAAATATTATGTTTAAAATGTTTCTTTAATTAAGTAGGATCTTTAGTGATAGGCTAAACTAATGGAAATTGCTAGAAGAGGCATTTCTTACAGTATATGAAAGCTGTTAAGATAATACGTAAAAATTCCATTTTGCAATCACCAGTTTTTAAAGATGTTAAGGGTTTATGTCTTCACAAATGTTTCATATGCAAGTTTTAATTTACAACATTAACCCCATCATCTTTTTAACCCTCAGTTAGTAATGTGGGGTCATTATGACACCATGCTTTATCATGTGAAAGATGGTGCTTTACTTAGCCCCACCCAAAGTAGCTTCTTTCATTGTGTCTGTCCATATTGCAGCCTTCATCAGTATTCTGCAGTTGTAGGTTTTTAAAAAAATTTAGACTGGGGTCATATTTACCCTACGCAACTACTTGGTTTAAAATTTTTTGCAAGGTAAGTTTATTTTCCTGTGATTTTAATTTACTTGATTTTATGTATTTTTTCTTAATTTATGGCTAAAAGATGTCTTTTTATTCTATATCTTTTATTTTCTCGAATTTCTCTGTTTAATCATTTGTTTCAGATGATATTTAATTACTTCTTGAACATCTTCATATTGACACTTTGTGTTTTATATTATACAGATGGCTAGAAAAGGACTTACCACTGCAATACATTTTAATATTGTAAGCCATAATCTAAGGCTTTCATTATTCTATTTTGCTTACAAATAAAGGAATGGACAAAAAAGACAAGCGATTGAGCTTCATAATTATTTAAAAAAACCACACTGGGATCATAAAAACCCCAGGCAACCACATATGTTCCATTTTACCACACGATTAATTGAGGGTTAAAAACATTTTTCTTAACTATATATGCAACAAAGTGCTTGTGGGTTGACAACTGCTGGTTACAATAAAATACTGATAACAAGACAAAATAAGTAATTATCTCTTAATACAAATCATAGATATACCTCACTTGGAATATTCTGTACACACAGTTTTGGTCTTCTTATCTATTGAAAATGGTTCAAAGAAGAACTACTAGATTGATTCTGGGGTTGGAAGGATTATCTTATGGGAATAGATTAAGATCTGTTTTTCAAGAGAAAAGAAGGATAAACGATGGTCTTACTAAATTTTACAAGATTAATTAAAAGACTAATAGGATAAGAGAATGCAAACTTAAGATACAAAAAAGACAGACTAAGATGAGTGAGGAGGTATTCCTGCATTTTTTGTTAATTATTGTGTTCATATTTACATACCTTTTTCTCTGTCATTTAGCTAAGTTGTCCTTAAGTTACTTTATGCAAGACACTAGCTCACACTCCATTAGAAATAATTGTATGTTACTCATACATTGAAACAACTGACACTGGGTGGCACTAAAGTATTTGTCACCATAGCTACAGTTATGTAAATAAGTGTTGCTATGCTCATATATAAGTCAGTCTGTTACTTTATGTAAACAAGTTGATCAGATATTTTGTTAATAGCCAAAGTCTTCCTGAGCCAAGTTGCAATCTTGTTAACTGGTAGCAAATAGAACTATGCACACAAAAGAAGTGAAGATTGCATAAGTCAGATACTCCAGAAGGTGGAGTTTTAAACTGAATACTACTTGAAATTCAGAGATTGGAAGTGTCAAGAGTTATATTTAGGATTTTTAAGTGCTGTATTATAAAGCAGATTTTGCAATAACTGACAAAGTTAGGTTTGTTTATTTTTTCTGGCTCTAACTTCTTGTGTTGAGGTTATATTATCAAGTCAAAAGTTTGGAATTTAGTTGTATCACTTGTTAAAGTCAAGACCTGGTATTTTGAAAGTTTAATTTTGTTCAACCTGTGAGAGTTTTAATAAATAATTTGTTTTTAAGAATTATGGTTATATTTTTATTATTCTTAAACTAATGAAGAATAAAAGATTTCTTACAGCTCTAGTTAAGAGTTATTTTCCTAACAGGGTGACTGGCTTATTGAATGAGTATCCATCAGTAATAGTGGAATCCAGCAACTTACAAGTTTTAATAGGGCAATCGGTACTTTCCTGAAAAATAAAAAGTGAATTTACCTTTTTCTTTAAATGTGAGTGCACAGGGAGAGCTATGAAAGGCCAATTGGTTCCTTGTTGTCTATATGCTATGTTATACAAGTTGCAAAAAAATATAATCAATATCGCAGTTGATCTCACTAATTGCTGCTGAGGTTTCATATGATTTTACAAAGAAAATATCTGGTCAAAAACAAAATCATTCAATATGACAGAACATGTGGACCACACCAGTAGTGAATAGTATAAAAGTTACTGATTCAAAGGTTAAAATATTTTATCATTTCATTTATTGTCATTCAAGATGTTTTTTGAACTAGATCATAATTATTTTGTTACTAATAATTGTTGCAATACGTTTTAGTTAATATCTATAATAAAAATTACATACATCATGTTTAACAAAGTTGGTTATTAATAGTAAGTCGAATAACTTTTGTATTGCTATTTTCTTAATTTTGATACAATTTCATTTTCCTTTATTTTTTTATTTTTTTTCAAGAAACCTAAATTAGTTATACCAACAGTTTATTATGGTAAGAATTATTGTTTATCTCTGGATTTTAATTATTCTACAAATAAATTACATGCAAGAATTATATGTTTATACAATGGTAATATTAGTTAAAATTCTTGAGACTCATGTCTACAATGCAGATGTTGGTTCACTTAACAGTTATCAAAATTTTTTTTAAATGTGCACTCAGGTACTGTATGTAGAAAAAGATGCTTTTTATAGTGACAAGAATTACTTAGTTTCCCAAAATCATTTGGTTATATAGAATTATAGATCTTTTATTAATATTTTTTCATGAAGCTCATTCACATTTGTTTCTAGTTGTCAAAGGATGTTTAACATAATAATGCTCTGACAATTAGGCACTCCCATCATTAGTGAATAGTGATAATAAAGTCTCATGAGTCCGTTGTCTACAGAGTATAAATATTCGTTTTTTCTTGTTTGTTTTTTTTCTGTCAACTAATTTTTCTAATTAAGCATTCTTCAACATCAGAAAAATACCTAAAGATTTCAAATTCAAGAGTTCGTTTTGAAAGTGTTATCACAGACTTGTCTTTACAATTTAATCCAATATTCATTAAAAACAGATATATTTTCTGAACTAAGCCCACTCAAAAAGAAAAAAAAATGTTTTAGGAGTCAAGAGGTCTTCTGAATGTAAAATCAAAAATTTATGTATTCGTACCTGCAAGTAGTTTAACAGTGTTATTTGTGTGCGTGTCAATATAAAATTCTTACCAATGGGTTTTATATGCAATTATGAATTACAGATTAAAATCTAATATGAACCTTGTGAATCTACCCACTATCTACTGACCTACTAAAAATGAGAGAGGCTCATATATTTCATTTTTGATCTCTTGAAAACCCTAGGGAAAATCTTGTTTGCCTTGGTGCTGTTTAATCTCACAATCTCACATAACCCAAAAGGATTAGTATTATCAACATGATTCACGTCAATTTCAATATTTCCCATATAATGTGTAGGGTCAGGAGTATTGCTAATTCCTCTTTAAAAAACAGAGGAGCACATTTAAAAATTCAGCCATCTCATAGTATTAAAAAAAAGGGCCCAATCCCACTTTAAAGTTCTGCTTATATTTAACATCTTTTAAAAAATCTTTGTTTCAAGTTTTCATATTATTGACAGATATTTCTCATAAGCTCCTTTAGATTTCCTGATTTATATTTTTACCCAATCTCTAGCTTTCTATGATTTTGCAAATCTTCCAACCTATCTATAAATTTAAACATCTTGAACTTTGGCATTTATTGAGCTACTATTTTATGAATCTACGTCAATAAGTTTGGTATCAAATTGTAGATAACAATTCAAATTTTAATATCATACTTCAGTTAATTTCTTAATTTAAAAGTAAATATTAAAAAAAAAAACAGCTAAACATCGATTTTTGTGTGTCACATGGTATGTTGAATGCAGCACTGGTTCCAATTAGATGTTTGTGATGTCAAAATACAAAATCTATTGTTTCATACGAATTGAGAACTCAAACTACCAATATTGTCAAGCTAAAATATAAAATAAGAATGTCTTGTCTTTTCTATTTGCTAAGATATTGCTCCTGTACTGAATCAAACACAGTAGCCCTCCAGTCCACCATTTTCCATATTTGGAAACAGTCCATTATATACACTTACTTCTATATATGACATGAATAACCAATTGAAAACTTAGGATGTCCCCCTAGTGGTTTTCTCAGCCATTTTGACATGTTATTAGCAAATTTCTTTCTTTTTACACAAGATTTCAAACAATGAGGTAAGTCTTTAGGAGGTAGAAATTTCATATTTTTCTTAGGCCCAAATACAGCTTAGTTACTACACTTGATAAATTATAGTGGAATTCTGTGGTATTGATAAAGTAATTTATGATTTTTTGGTGATGTAAAACATATACATAAAACCCAAAAAAATCTTAATACTTAATTTAAAAACAGATATTCTGTGTATGAAAACCTTGTAATGTTTACTAATAACCTGCAATGTTTTTTAATGATGTGCATACATTATCAAAATTCATAGTATAATTACTCTCATGGATACTTTCGTGGTTACGAGCTGGGTGGATTCCACCCAACCTGTAATGAAAGGGTTAACATTAATTCTGGCTGAATCAATCAAAAATGCCATATACCCCAAATACTATGTACTGTACTATTGAATTTCTATTACTGCTGTTTCCAAGATAGTGGGTGATGTTGTATACTGGATATTTTAAGACACTGCATGCCATACTTGTCACTAACTTTGCAAATGTTAATAAACTCACATTTTATCAGTCTCTCACTTGTTCCTTCTAACACTGTATTAACCACCCTGCCATATTTAAATATATTACAAATAGTTCATTTTAAACCTTTATCTTTTATAATTTTATTTATGTTCATCAATACTTTTCCTTAAATAACAGAAATTAGCCTTTACTCAGATATATAAATTTGTCATAATCAGATAGATAATTTATAAACTAAAATAGGACAATTAATTAAATTTTCAATGAAAGAGGTGTGAAATGACTTGAGGTAATTTTCAGAATTAATATATTCAGATGTAATCAGTCTGTTCACAGTGACTTCTGATCTTTAAATCACCTAAAATATTCATTATCATTTTCTATAATATATTACCAAAATATTTTTCATTCCTACATTAATTCAACTATTCAATAAAATACCTTGAATAAAAAATATCAAATTCGAGTAAAAAAACTCAACCTTACATTTTCAGCAGTATGTTGCTTCCATCTGCTAATACATTTATTTTTATTTTTGTACAACAATAACATTTTTTCAGTGAAGACTAATTCACTCTTACAAAAAACAATTTAGATCCAATGTCTTTATATATCTCTCATGTATCCCTCACTAGATTCACCAGATTACAACAGAGTGTATTAAGACTGTTTTAACAACACTTTAAACTTATTTTGCAAGTAATATTGATGACTACCCAAAATGTTAGAATTAGTCAATTAATTGTTGGGCTCATTAATCAATTACATTCAACCTACTATTCTCAAGGAGGTGGCTAAAATGAAAAAGTAGCCTGCTGTGTAACTTTATACTTAACAACAAACATAAAGGCAATAAATATTTCAATTACTTGGATAATTAAATTAATCAAAATAGTAATAATCAAAAAACCCTAATTTCAACCAGTTAATTATTTTCGTGAGTTCTGTTTTTTGTGACATTATGAAAAAACAAATAGATTAAGATATTTTCTCTGGTTTATCTAGGAGAGATTTAGAGTAACTGAAAAGCATACAAAATATAGTATTCAATGTAACTCTTACACTGTAAACTATGTCACATGTCTAATCACCCCTACTGACAGCCCTAAAAAGTATATCCATGATAATTTTTCATTTAAGCTTTGGATTCTACAAAATAATTCATTCCCATATCTACCCCAAGAGAGCCCTTCCAAAAGACATTTTTTTCCGTGTTTCAACTTATATATACATTCACACACACACACACACACACACACACACACACACACACATACATATATATAGTATCCTACAGCTTAGGATATTTTACTGTGTAACATTTTGAGACAAAACTACAAAAACATTAGCCATCAGAATATGGCCGATTCCCTTTGACCAATATCTTTTGGTTTTAAGAGAAAACAACTATGGTGTATGCGTCTGAAATGGTGGCCTAGACCTTGGACTTTTTGAAAATCAAAATAAAGAGAGTTCTTCCCCATCCCCAATGAAACAACCTGTAAATTTGGTTCTCCAAAATATTTAGAAGTCTAGTTCTTGTGCAGAAAGTAGAGGTACACAGACAAACAGTTCAACAAAGTCATCACCATGGGTGTACTATGGGGAAATGGGAAGGGGGCATACCTGTTAGACACAATGAACCAACACCTTTCTGACGAGGAGTGGAATTCTCCGAAACTAGTCTGGCCCACAGACACACCACAATAAAAGAATAGACCATTCCAAGCTCTTTTACCTGTTGTTGAATATCTCACTACTATTCAACACTCTTTTCGTTCACACCTTGTAATTGTTAAATGGGCTACAAATACAACAGTACGTGCTAAATTGTATTTTAAAAAATCTTATCCAAATATTTTGGCTACATTTTGTAAATACTAAAAAAAAAAGGGTATCTAGTCCTCTATTTGAGCTATAAGTATAACTTAGTATAAATGAGTATAACATTAACAGCTGCATACTAACTTACTGGGGCCTTAATACTAAAATTGTGATGTAATTTGTAATGTGAAGGCAACACTGATGTGACTCGCCACGATTCGTCGAGGCCCAAGAATTGCCAAGATATATTCTGATTTATATGTCTAAAATATAATAGATAAAATAGCATATCTATAACAACCAACAATAACTAAATGCTGTTTTACGTTCATATCAAGGAAACTTCAGAGTTCAAAAAGTTTCGAATATAACTCACAACAAATATATATATATACTTGACTTACAAGTTTTCACCTCTTACTGGAGTGAAGCCTTCCTGACGTTCCTCAGACTCAGGTCTAATTTGTCAACTTTATGCCTATGGCTTGAACTACTCCAGCAAAAAGCTTGTCAACAAAGAATAAAATAAGTTTTATGTTAATAAGGTACTTATAAGTTACAAAACAAATGAAATAACACCGACTGTAGTGTATGTAACTATAAAAACACTAAATTAGTAAATACCAAAAGTTACACTAAATAAAATCGAACATAAAAGCTTTTTTTCTTAATTGTATTTTCTAATTCACAGTAGGCCTGACGTCATCACTACTCGCGAATTAAAAAATAATAACACTCTGAAATTCGTTATTTTAATAAAGTAGATCTCGTCTTCAGTGCGCATGTCACAGTAAACGTTATTAGTTATCCCTCTTTTTTTTTTGGATATCTCGAGAGAAGATTTTTTTATTTATTGTTTTAGCTTATTATGAATTTTCTGAAGCATAATAAGACACAATTCGAGGGTAAATAGAATAGTCCATTATCTATGTTACGAAATATTAAGTAAAATAATCAAATCATCCTTGTATAATTCTAAGAATTTATGAGTGAAAGCTAATAAGAATATATAATATATGTCACCCATAATATATATCTGTCATATCCAATGCCAACAAGCCCTTTCGCTGAACGCCATGGGTCATTAGGGCAATACAGAGTAGTGGTTTATGTGCTATTTAAAACCATCATTTGCATGAATAACAACTGTTATGGTGTGAACTGTATTAAGTAAGTGAAGTGTAATTGTTATAAATTTTAATTAAGTCATTTACACATCAGAACTGCAGTAAGAATGAATAACAATTTTATTTTTAACGCCAATTATTCATTATCCTAAGTTATACATAAATTAACTTCACTATAATTCAGAAGAACCAGCAAACTAATCTTGTTGTTTCGGTACTGGAACTTCGTTGATGTCTTATATAAATTGTACTTTTTCAGTCTTGTTGCTGTAATCTCTCTGTACATTTCCAATAGCTTTATCGGTCTTGTCTTCAATCAGATTTTCTTCTTTTTAACTCATCTTTAAATATTGTGCCTCTTTATTTTAACTTCCCTCTTAAACTCCCGTCTCTTACCTCTTGATATTCTTATAATTTTTTTTATAAGTATGCGCGTGACCTTCTTTCATCTTTGTCCTCCTGCGGGACAGGGGTGAGTTTGCGGACTTAAAACACTAAAATCCGGGGTGGACATAGCAGATAGCCCAATATAGTTTTTCTCTAAAACAAACAAAACAAAAACATTAAATTTTTTTATAATTTTCTTCTTGGTATTCTTTTAATTTTCTGTATATATTTTTTTTCTAAATTTCTGCCTCTTTCACCTTTAAATTTTATGTTACCTTTTTTCATTTCCTGTCTTTTTCTTCTTTTTATTATTTTAAATATGCCCGGCATGGCTAGGTGGTTCGGGCGCTTGACTCGCAATCTGCGGGTCGTGGGTTCGAATCCCCGTCACACCAAACATGCTCGCCCCTTTCAGCCGTGGGGGGTGTTATAATGTGACGGTTGGAGATATAATGTGACCCCTAGAGATAAGACAACCAGAAAGGTAGAACCCTGCTTTTGTTCAATGGCACCCACAGGAGAGAGGGGTAAAGTCCAGAGATGGACAGTCTCCACCAATATGGGCTGTTTCACTAGTAGGCCAGACAGCAAGCACTCAAGCAAAAGATTGGTAATTATGAGGTAGTAGGGAGTTTCCTAGCCCTAGCAAGAGTCAGGAGCAAAATGCCATTGGTGGATGAGCTCTTTCACCATGAACCATTTTGCCAGCAGGTAAGATGACAAGCACTTGCAAGTGAAGATATGGGTGATGTTTGGGAGTGAGGGTAAGAACCTTTCCATGAAGAGAGGCAACTACCTACCAAGCTAATAGTAAGAAGTTGGAGGTCATTGACGAAAGATAGAACCAACAGGAGTTGTATCATTATTAGTTGAGGCAGCAAGTCTTTGCTAATAATAACAATGATCAGTAGGCTAGCAAGGAATTTATCCACGAAGAGAAGTGCCCAGCCTCTTTGAGAGTTAAAAAAAGGGACCACTGGTGGATGAAACTCACTAACATTAACTGCATCACTGACTAGTGAAGCATCAAGAACCTGATGATGAGGATGAAAAATGGTAAAGAAGAGAGGAAACACAAGTTGCAGAGACAACTAGAGGCTATGACTGAAAGCTGATACTCTTTAAGTGTGGAGCTCCCAGTTCATGGTAACTTAATAGCACCACTCCCCTTGAAATAAGACTGTGTCATATGCTTTTGTTGCTTAAGGTATTGGTGTTTTCATTAAAAAGTTATTTTTAGTGTTTTAAAGATGTTTTATGTTTTTCGACTTAAAGGGTACTTTGCATATTACATTGTTAAAGGATTTTGATTTGTATTCTTGAAAAAGTGAAGTGTAGTTTGCTAGTCTACCCACTCGTAGAATGGGTAGATGATCTTTGTTAAGATACTATTGTTAT